AAGAAGAGGAGGAGAAGGAGGAGGAGGAGGAGAACACTGAGGTGACCGAAGAGGCCAATTCCTTTTCAGGACTCTACGCCTTTCCTCGGTCGCAATGAACTTTTCCTTAGTCTTCGTTTACTTTTCCTTAGTTTCTTTTCTGTCGCTATCCTTAGCGTTTTCTTACTGTTCTGAGCTTTTCGTTAGTGTTATTTAGCTTTCCATTGCTTTTCCTTAGTTTCCTTACAATTTCTACAGTTTTCCTTACGTTCCTTTTTTTCCTGATCAGGCCCTGCCTTTTTTTTCCGTGGGTGTCGGGTGCTAAGATAACGCCTCGGTGCGGGGCGCCCGGGATACCCTGGGATGGACTACCCCATACGACGGCCGAAAAAAAAACAATTTCTCAAAGGGGTTTGAAATAGAAATCGCAATGAGAAGAAGAGGAGGAGAAGGAGGAGGAGGAGGAGAACACATCCAAGACGGCCCCTGAGGTGACCGAAGAGGCCAATTCCTTTTCAGGACTCTACGCCTTTCCTCGGTCGCACACTTCCTTTTCAGATTACAGCAGAGTTCACGAGATCCTCGAATTCATTCCGGTTCAGTCCAGTGCAGCAGAGACTTCTGAGCTTCTCCGTAGCCATTGTGGTTCAGTTTTCAGGCTCAAGCTTTAGGATTCGATCTGCATCCGCCATCAGCAGCAGACCATTCTTTCGCTCAGAGCCTTCAGCGGGATGGAGTGGAAAAGCTCGATCGACTTGGATGCAGTTGCAGTTGGGCCAGACACAACAGGATGGAGTTCAGACGAGGGGGAGTACGCGAAGTTCCGCTCAGTTCCTCACGGAGAAGACGCTTGGTCAGAGTCAAAGCGTAGGAAGTGGATCAGGGACCGTAAGAAAGAGGCAGCTCAGTGGCACAAAAGGGCAGCTGAGGAGGCTAAGGTCAAGGCCGCCACGCAGGCTCAGGCCAAGGCCGCTAACGCTCTGAGGAAGCGCCCAGCAGCTCAGACGACACCCAGGAAGAGGCCCGCCGCTCAGACGACACCCAGGAAGAGGCCCGCCGCGCAGAAGAGTTCAGGCAGCAGCGGGACGACGAGTGACTCCCACAACGGCAGCTACGATGAGCCGCCCAGGAGTCAGCGCAAGAGTCAGAGGGGAAGGCCTTCCGCTAAGGCTGACGTGTTGAGCCGCCTGTTCTCTTCGGGCAGCGCGCCTTTCAGAGGCCGCCTCTGAGTGAAGTCAGAGTAGTGTCTCTCCTGCGCTCTGTCAGGCCCCCGCACTTTGCTCAGGCCGCACCTCGCCGTCCTTTTCAGAGTTGGCTTTCAGTGTTCCCTTGATCAGCGAGCCCGCCTTCCTTTTCAGAGTTCTGGCTTTCAGCTCTCGCGTCGTCAGCGAGACCGCCAGATTGTCTCACTTGAGACCCAGCGAACGCCCGCACGTTCAGGCGCCGAGGCCGGGCGTCACAAATTCGAACGCTTCGCGTGATCCCCACCAGCCCTTCCAGAACCCATCAACTTGAACAGGGGAATCAGATGTTCCCAGCTTTTCCGCAGCTTTTCCTACAGTTTTTCTAAGCTTTTCCTTAGATTGTCTGAGCTTTTTCCCTTAGTTTACTTGAGCTTGTCCTGGCTTTTCAATGTTTCTGTTGGTTGTCTTAGCTTATCTTAGCTTTTCGTTAGCTTTTGCGCAGCTTGTCCTTAGTTTCCGTTAGCGTTTCCTTAGTTTCCCTCAGCTTTTCCTTAGTTTTCCTTAGCGTTTTCTTTAGTTTTCCTCAGATTTTCTTTAGTTGTCCTTTATAGCTTTTCTTTAGTTTTCCTTAGTTATCTTCACATTTTCCGTAGTTTCCCTTAGCTTTTCCTTAGTTTTCCTCAGCGGTTTCTTTAGTTTTCCTGAGCTTTTTCTATAGTTTTCTTTGGCTTTTCCTTAGTTTCCCTTAGCTTTTCTTTAGTTTTCTACAGCTTTTCTCTAGTGTTCCTTACCTTTTCTGTAGCTTTCGTTGTTTTTTTTAGCGTTTCCTTAGTTTTTTTCCTTAGCTTTTCTTTGGTTCCCCTTAGCTTTTCCTTAGATTTTTTCTGTTTTCTTTAGCTTTTCTTCGTTTTCTTTAGCTTTTCTTTAGTGTTCTTCAGATGTTCCTTACGTTTTCGTTGGATTTTCCTTAGTTCTTCGCAGCATTTTCTGCGTTTTCTTTAACTTTTCCTGAGTTTCCTTTAGCATTTCGTTCGTTTTCCTTGGTTTTCCTTTCGTTTGCAATAGTTTTCATTCGTTTTCCTAAGCTTTTCCTTTGCTTCTCTTTGCTATTCTTTAGTTATCATTAGCTTTTCCTTTGTTTTCTTTCGCTTTTCCTTAGTTTACCTTAGCTTTGCCTTAGTTCTCCTTAGGTTTTCCTTAGTTGTTAATGCCTTTTTTCAGATTTTCCTTAGCTTTTCTTAGCTTTGGTAAGTATTTCTGGCATTCTATTTTTCATGGAAGCCACAGATACCCTCATTTGCATTCGTCACATGCCTTGCGAGTTTCTCTCTTGGTCCCATAGGAAATCCCACCGATTTTTTTTTTTCGCTTGTGCGGGCGGGTGCTAAGAATATCGCTCGGCGGAAATGCCCCCCCCGGAATATTGAATAAAAACCGGGTGCTAATAATAACGCGGGGGGGTTTCTTAAATGCTTTTTCGGGTTAACCTTGCCCTCTGTCGTGTAAACGATGGCGTTGTGGCCAGACTGCATGCGGCGGTCGGCGGGGCGACGCTGCCGAACAACTGAATGCGCATCTTCAGCGAGACGCGCTTGTCGGTGACAATTTCGAGCATGCGCCACTTGGACCGCGCCACTTGGGCCGCTAGATTACGCGAGCCACGTTCGCAGCCCCGTGGAAACGTATCCCAAGTGCGTGCGCATATCCATTTTCAACATCACGGGCAGCAGTGACAGGCTCCTGAAATACAGCCGTATCAAAGTCATTTCTGAATGCTTCGGTCCTGCTCGCGTTCAGCTCGAAACCGCGCCGGGGCAACTCTTGGCGGAGAGCGGCAAGCGCGCTGGAGACCTCCTCCGAAGAAGCGGCGTGAAGAAGTATGTCGTCTGCGCGCCGCGCGTGGGCCAGCGGCTCGGCCGTCCCGAAAACAAGCCACGCGCCTTGAACGCGGTCTTCGAATCGACGCGAGGCTTGCGCAATACCATTGTTGAGAAGAAACGATCTCGAAGCGCCCCCCAGCTTGACCCTCCTGCTGATGTCGAACTGCTTGCTGCCGTTGACTGCCCCGAACTGACCAGTATGCGCGTCGGGCGACAGACGAAGATACTCATAATGAGCATCTTGCGAAATTGAGGCGTCGAATCAGGCCGGGCGTTCGATTCAATCGAGCGCCTCGGTCAGGTCTGCACTGGCGATCCAGACGCTTCGGCCCCGCTCCCAGGATTTGCCGCGAACTACGAAAACATCGTCGACCAGTCTACCTGGCCGGAAGCCGACCTGATCAGCGGACTGTTTAGCATCGAGCGTTGGTTGACTGCGTCCAACAATAAGCCTGGAGAAGGTTTTGTACGTCAGTTCCAACAGAACGATCGGTCTCCAATTCTTGACGTTCTTTCCGCGGCCCGCTTTTGGGAAGCATCATGAACGGGGCCTCGTACCAACGAGGTTCGATGACTCCTGTCTGGAGCATGTAATTGAGACGAAACGCAAGACATTCCAACAACCTGTCGCCGCCATGTAAAATCATCTCGACGGTGATGCCGTCCGTGTCCGTGCACTCGCCCTTCTTTGTTTCCCCGCGCGCGAAGCTCAGCTCGGCCATCGTGAAATGCTAGATGCTACAGCGACCTTCGCTGCAATGGGCACCGGGCCACTCCGCGCGTGTAGCCGGAAATCCTGTTGAGAAAATATGTTTCAATGCTCGCCAAAACTCTGTGGACACGGATTTCCCCTTCTCTGGATCTCGTTCCGCCCTCCGCGCTTTGAACAAATTCTGGATACCCGAATTGTGCCCTTCCTTAGGCTTTAACGCGATGTCCCTGGGAACCTAGGCCGAGTTTATAATCATCGTTCACCTCCGTACCGTTACCGTAATTACACTCCAACGAGAACGACTGACAATAATGCATGACTTTTCGCCGGCTTTCCAATTAGGTCCAGTTGGCTCTGCGGCAGCATATCTATCGAGGCAGACAAGTGGATGAAGACATCCTCTGGGGTCCGAGTAGATGGCATCGGAGAAGCGCGCCACATCCCCAATGCATCGCCGATGCAATGGCGATGCATCGGCGACGCATCGGCCACGTCGGGGTGAAGCACATCGGGATCCGCACCGCGCCGCATCGCCGCCGCATCGGCGATGCGGCGCGATCCTCCGACCCCATCCACTCGGACCCCATGGCGGAGGCCTGGAACCGAATCCGCGGTCTTGTCCACACGGGCTTCCGGCTGCCACTCCGGATTCCATAATAAAGTAGGGGGGGTCACATTTGGCGGGGGGGTCTGATTTGAGCTGTCTTGAAGGGTTCGGGGGGGTCTGGGCAAAGTGCCGCCCTTTCCTGGATGGTCTGGGGGGTCTAAAACTTCTGGTCTGGGAGGGTTGTGACCCCCTCCCTTTTATTACGAAATCTGGAGTACGTGAATTCACGATCTCGTGGAAACCGCCGGCTTCCTGATGGTGCGGCGGCCCCGTGTCGCATATGCAGGCGGCCTCTTCTTCGGGAACCCTGCTGCTGCCGCCGCACCTCACGGTCCGGAACCCCCACGCACGCCCAAGGAAGCCAGCGGGTGGCATACCACGACGGCTCGTCAGGCTGGGCCTCGACCAGGGTGACGGCAGGACAGGCGGTGATGAGAACTACCAGGAACACCGCGAGACTGCGGAGGAGCAGAGGGTGAGGAGAATGGGGAGGTAGAGGACTTCGCTCAGCATAAAAGCCTTGAGACAACCTCCAGTCCCGCCGCTGCATGGTCTCTTGGGAGGGCGGGGAGTGAGGACGGCTGAGCTTGAGGACGAGAAGGACGGAGGGGACAGAGGAGGAGAACAGAGAGCAGAGCGCCTCGCCACGTTGTAGCAAAGCGCTCCAGACAAGCATATCATGGTGCCGACCACGCCCATTGCTGTGACCTGCCCGCGACGCCGGAACGCTGGACGCACAACCAGCGAAGGGAACGGGATGAGGGAGGATGGCGACCGCAGGAAGGTACAGCCATCGTGAGTCAATAAACACTGCGAAATATGGAACGAAGGGGATGTTCTAGCCACTGCGGGCCCTGGCCGAATATCCGAAGACCATAGCCCCCCCGAGTCCAGAGTGGGCTGTATTTCACCGTCTCGACTCTATGAGGAGGCTGCCCAAGCGTGGTCAAAGCAGACGATACATGGGTGACGTCGGGGTCGAGAACGTCGATCTCAAAAACGCGCCCCATCGCAGATTTATCGGCGATGCGGCGCGATTCTCTGACCCAATCTGCCCTGGCAGCCTGGAGAAAGGAAACACGGGGCAAGGTGTGCAGTATGGGTGCGCGTGTCATGGTCAGCATCTTCCCTCTCGCGGCGCCGCGAAGCAAGTGCGCTCCGCTAACACCATTGTAGCCTCCCCTCGGAGCCTCCCATGACCGAAACAGACATAATTTGATCCCGAAGGGGGGTCTCCGTGAGTCTTCTCAGAACCTCCTGTGCCCCCTTTCCACAGCCTCCAACGCTCCTCCCCCTCTTCACCTCCTTTTCGCAGTGGTCCGGCCCGGAAGCTGAAAACACAAGCCGCGCACCCCCTTTGACCCCTTGTGGGAACCTGGCTGCGACCCCCTTCCACGCTCTCGAGGACCTCGCGCAAAACCTCTGCTACAGGCTTCGGAACAAATTAGCGAACATTCAGGTCACATTCATCTGTCAACGCCTCCCCCTCCCCCCAATGTTCAAAGCTGGCGGTGGGTCTGATGAGATGCGCTTCGACCGCAGTCTCCCCCGCGCGTGCCAACGTTGAGTTTGGGGGGAGGGGGGATGTTCAGTAATTGTTTCCCTCTACCGCATCTCCGCCCCTGCCAGCCCCCCCTTTTCCACCGTCTTTCCGCTCTGCGCCTGCTCCTCCGGCTCTGCCTCGCCCGCCCGCCCGCCCCCTGGCCGCTCCTGGGTGGCGCGTGCGTGTGCCGGTCTTCACGTCTTCACGCGGCTCGTATCACTGCTGGTCCTGTAGAGTTAGGTCGGGCATGTCCCCTTACAGGCAAATTTAGAAGATGACATTGTTCTTACAAGCGAAAAACCAAACAAACTATTCAAACATCCGCCGACCCTGTCGGCGTGTGTGAGGGGCTGTTCCGTTCGACTCGTCGTCTCCGTCGTCTCCGTTCTCCCCCTCCCAGGGTTCTCCTCCTCAAGCGCGCTATCCAAAGCGAAATTAAACGACGTCGTAGTGGAGTCGAAGGTAAGCCCCTTCCCTTTGATCCCTTCCCCGCAGGGGAGGGGGGGTGGGGTGGGCGGGGGAGGGGGGGGGGGGCCCGGGGCAGATACGACGCCCGCCGGGGAGCACTTTCCTCGAGCGGGCACGCACGGGATGCACTTCCTCCTCCTCCTGGTCCTCTTCCTCCTCCTTTTCCTCCTCCTCCTCCTCCTGCTCCTCTCCTCCTTCTCCTCCTCCTCCTCCTCCTCCTCCTCCTCCCGCAGAGGCAGAGGTCCCGGGAGCGGGCCCCGAGTCAAAATACCACCCCCCTAGGGCGCATTTTCCTCGAGCGGGCACGCCCGAGATGCACTTCTTCCTCTTCCGGGAGCACGTCCCAAGTCAGAATATCACACTCTCGGGGCGCACTTTCTTCGAACGGGCACACAAAGGATGCACTCTCTCCTCCTCCTCCTCCTGCTCCTCCTCCTTCTCCTCCTCCTCCTCCTCATCCTCCGCTTCCTCCCCCCACTCCTAGCCCTTTCGATCAGGGTCGGCGGCACCGGCCGTCAGGCCTCTCCAATATTTAAAAAATCGTCCCCTGACTATTGTTGGTCTATTTTTGAACATTCCTCCTGTAGAGGGACGTGCCCGACTTAACCCTAGAGGCCTCCCACATGGGGTCCGAGTAGATGGGGTCGAAGGATCGCGCCGCATCGCCGCGATATATCATCGGCGACGTCGGCATGGAACAGATCGGGCTCCACACCACATCGGCGGCGCGACCCTCCAGTCCTATCTACTCGGACCTCATTTGGGATGCCTGCCTTCACGCGGCTCGTATCGCTGCTCCTCCGATGTCTCGGCGCCCTCACCCTGTTCTGACTACCTACCAGACCACCCCAACCAACCCGAAGACCCGAATTTCGGGTTGGGGGGGGTACGGGTTCCTCATGTGTTTTCTCGATGTTCCCCGACCCCCCCCCAACTGGAAATGGAGGGCAAATCGAGACCTTCGGGTTGGGTTGGGGTGGTTTGGTGGGTGGTGATGTTCGGGGACGTGCTCATCCGGGTCAGCACCAACCCGGGTCGGCCCGGGCCCTGCCGCGAAGCCCGGCCGACCGCGTAGTAGCTTCCAGACCTTGGCCGCCGGAGAGCGGACCAGGGCTTAATGGGCCCTGGAAACGACAAGGCCGTTTTTTTACCGGCTCCGTTTTGCCGTTTTTTTGCCGGTTCCAACGCCGTTTTTTGACCCGTTCCGGCTCCGGTTCCAATCCTGGAGCCGTCTTTGTTGCCGTTTCCGGTCGCCTTTTTCTTGCCGTTTCCATTTTCAAGGGACACTTTTTGCAAACGGTGAAAAAACGGCCCTGCCGTTTCCGCGGTCCACAATGGACCAGGGGAATCGGCCCCACGTGGCCCTAGAGCGGGTTGGCTGGCCCCCGGCAGCGCCGACCTCCGTCACGTGGGCCCCGATCTCTGAGGAAGGTGACCCTCCGGCCCCGAAGCGCGGTCCTCGTGGCGCCCCTGCCGGAGACCCGGTTGCAGCCTGGCCACACCCCGCGCGACAGGCTGGGGGGAGGCCGCTGTGGCCTCGTTGCCGAACACAAGCACGCTGATCCTCGGGCCGGGGGGGGCGGCGGCCGAAGCCGACTGGCACTGGCCAAACGGGGAGCGCCTGGGACCGACCGGAGAGCGCAGGGGGACGACAAGCAGGGGGACGGCTGCCAGACCCTCGACGTGACGATTTTTCCATGACGTCGACCCCCAACGGCTTGGACCCCTTCCCCGGGACCGGTTTTCCGTCCGGAGTCGTTGTTTGACGGTCCCGAGGGCCGGGAAGGGCTCCCAAAGGCCAAGAAGAATGAACAGCCTCCCGTCGTGATTTTGTCATGATTCGAGGGGGTCCGGGGCCCCCAGACCCCCGACGACATGATTTTTTCATGACGCGACCACCAGAGGTCGGACCCATTCCCCAGGACCGGTTTGTCATCTCGGGAGCGGCCAAGAGGGGGGTGTCCAAGAGGGGGGGGTGCAAATCATGACCGGCGGCATGTGCGCGCCCCAGCGGGGGGGCCAGCAATGAAGCAAGAAGAGGCGCCATGAAATCTGGGGAAATATCATGGCCCCCGCCATGAAATCCCCCCCCCCCTAGTCATCACCACCCTCTTTGCCGCCCCCGATCATCCTGAGTCGTGGCTCGACGGCCCCGAGGGCCGGGAAGGGCCCCCAGAGGCCAAGAAGAATGAGCAACCTCCCGTCGTGATTTTGCCACAGCTCGAGAGGGTCGCTGCGTCGAAACGTACCATCGCTTTCATCTGGGAGATCCAGAGCTCCCTGGCCGGCCTGCAGCCTCAGCTCAGTCCGGAAAGTCATCGATGCAGGCCGACACGTGACGCTTACTGCTCGAGTTCGTCGATCGTATCTGCCGATTCCCTCGATGCGCAACGCCGGCCTGGCATCGGCGAGACCTCGCCGGCGCCTCGGCAGTCGGCCGCGGCGGCGGAGCCGCCAGGTTCCCGAGCGGGGCTGGGGCCTCGGGCCCCGGGGCGGGCGAGGGCTGGGCGAGCGAGTGGGGTCGACGCCTCCTCCCCTGGGCCAGGAGGAGGCAGGGAGGAGGAGGAGGAGGAGGAGGAGGAGGAGGAGGCAGGGAGGAGGGGGAGGAGGAGGAGGAGGAGGAGGAGGAGGAGGAGGAGGAGGAGGAGGAGGAGGAGGAGGAGGAGGAGGAGGGGGGGGAAGGGCAGGGAGGGAGGGAGGGGGAAGGTCAGGACAGAGGGCCCGGTGTTCTCGAGGCTTCCCCTCGCGGCCGCGTCTCGGCCGAGGGCTGCGCCACAGCTCGGAGCTGGCCGTACCGAGGGCAGCTTTTTGCTGGGGGGGGGTGTGGGGGAGGGGGGGGGGCGGAGGGTGATGGGAGGATGACGAGGATGAGGATAACGGAAGAGCAAGGACGAGAGGGGCGAGGGAGAAAGATAGGAACAGGAGGGAAGAGGATCAAGGAGTGGGGGCAGAAGGAGCAGGCGCGAGAGGGGGAGGAAGAGGAGCAGGGAGCGGGCGGAGAGGGGGAGGATGGCGATCAATATGAAGGTGGAGGGGGAGAGAGAACGGGGGCAGCAGGATAAGGGGAGGCGAAGGGGGAAGGATTAAGTGGGAGGAGAAGGGGCGAGGTATGAGGGGAAAAGAGGGAGACGATGGGAGGATGAATGGATTGGAAACTCGGAGACAATAGGAGAACCAGTCGACGCCAGCCAGTCACCAACCAACGCAGTCCAGCCCGCTCAGAGGCAGCCCGCCATCGAAGGAAGGACCGAACGCAGACCGCTTAGAAAGGTAAGAGATAAAGAAGGCCTAAAACAGTGGCAAGGCCCGACAGACCCCTCCTGCACTTGGCCCTCCTGAAGCCCCAACTCAAAAAACGGCACCTCCTGGGGGCGCGTATTTTTCGCTTCCGCCAGCCCTCCCGCTGGCCTCCTCTGGCCGAGGCGAACCCCGTTACATATTCGCCGCCACCCCGCCGAGGAAGAGAAGCCAACTTCTCGTCTCCGAGCGGCATTCGGGCCACAACTCGAGCCTGTAGCGGCCGCTCGGCACGATTAGGGCACCCCCAGCACGCTCAACGGCGAGGCGCAGCCGCTGGACAGTACGCCGAGGCTAGATGACCTCCGAGAACCGATGGACGCTCCCGAAGACCTGCGAGATCGACTACTCGAGTGCGGGCCCTGGGGGAGGTGGACGGTGACAGTGATGGTGGGGGGTCACGGGCGGGGGCGGCTGCAACGGTCAGGAAGGGGGAGCAGGGAGGGAAAAGAATCGAATCGAGCTCCTGTGACATCAAGCTCGTCAGCAAGGACGAGGAGGGGGAGGAGGGTTGTTTCCTCTCTCCCCAGACCGACCTCAACGCGCGTATGATTAACGTGCCCATTGGGCCACTATAGTTTTCGCTTACATGACCGCCTTCCTTTTGACGCTGCGTGCCGAGGTCTTACATCAATCCCACCGGCCTTCTGGGCGAATATGGATTAGGGTGTTTCCTCTTCTACTCCCCTTCTTCTCCTTCGAAGGACGGCTTATCACTGCTTCTGCTAATCAACGCTACTCCACCAGGCGACCGACATTCAACTGGGAACAATGTGGTGCAGTACATGTCGTGCAAACTTAACAATGCAACTTATGCCAGGCATTAAACGTGGTGCGATCTGTGAGGCGCAGTCTGTGTTGTGCAATCTATGTGGAGCTACCTATGTGGATCAGCCTCTGCTGTGCAACCTATGTTGTGCAATTCATTTCTGTTGGATCAGCCTCTGCTGTGCATCCACTCCACTGCTCGCGCAAACATCCCACCCACCCACCCGCAACTTGGTTTACAAAACCTCGTAAGACCGTGACGGTGGGTACAACACGGCACTTGGCAACGACACCGACGCCAACGATGCCAGCGACAACGACGACGACGCCGCCGCCGACAACGACTACGACGACACCGACGACGTCTCCAACGACTTCGACGACGCCGACAACGACGACGAAGACGACAGCGACAACGACGACGAAGACGCCACCGACAACGACTACGACGACACCGACGACGTCTCCAACGACTTCGACGACGACGACGACGCCGACGCCGACGACGCCGCCAACGAAGACGACGACGACTACGAGGGAGGAGGGAGGACGACGACGGCGGCAACGACGACAACGACGAGGGAGGAGGGAGGACGGCGACGACGCGAACGACGAAGGAGGAAGGAGGACGGCGACGCCGACGACGACAACGACGAGGGAGGAGGGAGGACGGCGACGACGACGACGACAACGACGTCGGCGACGAAATAGGAGGGACAACGACGCAACGCCGACGACGACGACGAGGGAGGAAGGACGACCACGGCGACAACGACGACGGAAACTACGACGACGCAAAGACGACGACGAGGAAAACCAGAGGACGACGACGGCGACGACGACGAGGGAGGAGGGAGGACGGCGACGACGACGACGCAAAAGCGCGCGCGTACGCTTTTGTTGAACATCCGAGTTGCGAAACCCTGTGTTTTTGTATGTTTTTTGGGCACTCGATTTTGAAACCCTTCCGACACCGACGGTTTTTGAAGGATTTCGGCATGCGTGCGCGACGACGCGCGCGTGCGCACTTCGTCCCGTTTTTTTGCAGAGGCTGACGGCACGCGCGCAAGGGCGTTCGAAAGATTTCGACATGCGCGCGCGAAGCCCGTGTGGTAGCATGTCTTAAACATCTTGAACAACCTCTGATCTTCTTAAGATTTCGCAAGAGCGCGCGCGTAAGGTAATTTTTATATATATATATGTATTAGTTGCAAACATATTTTCGCAAATCAGCAATGCGGAACCTTGTGTTTCTGCATGTTTGTTGTGGGAACTCGATTTTGAAACCCTTCCGACGTCGAGAGTTTTTGAAGGATTTCGGCATGCGCGCGCGACGGTTTTACGACGCGATCCTGTCTGGGGGCGGCCCCGCGGCGCGGCCGGGGCTCCAGATCAGCAGCGCGCGCTTCAGCGTGTTGACCACCTCGGCGGTGCGAGCGCGCGGGCGGGCCCTCGAGGGCGGGGCGGCCACGCGCTGGGACTGAAGGGCGGCGCCCGGGCGCCCCCCGGGGCAGCCCCCTCCCCCCCCCCCCCGCATGCCAGGGGCTCTGGTTCCTCTTCCTCTTCCTCCTGCCTCCCTCCTCGCGCTCGCCCCCGCTCTCGCGCCCTCGCTGCCGCCCCCGCTCTCTCTCCCTGTCCCTCTCTCGCTCTCTCTCTTTCCTTTGGTTTTCTGTCTCTCTCTCTCTCTGTTTCTATCTCTCTCTCTCTCTCTGCCTGTCTGTCTGTCTGTCTCTCTCTCTCTCTCCCTTTCTCGCTGCCTGGTACTACACATCCCCTGGTCCCGCCGCATACTGGACTGGCAACACATCTTCCACCGCGAGCCACCACTGGGCTGGCAGAGGCTCCCAAAACACTCACGGCACGGCGGCCTGTTCGAAGAGGACCCGCGCCCCATGGCCCCCAAACCGCTCTCGCCCGCGACCCCGCCCACACGCGGCCGCGCCTACCGCCCCACAAGCCCCTATCGGCGACCAATGGGCGATTGGGGGTCGATGCGTCCCCCCCTATGCCTATCCCCCCTATCGTTGCCCCCGAAAGACTTGCCTCGAACCAATGTCGGCGGGCGCTGGGTGCACCAAACCACAGACGGGGCCTGCACCAGCCCGGCCCACCCGCTCCCGGCGAGGACCGCCTCCCGGGTCGCGGCCCAGGCACGCTCGAGCGCTCCTCCGCCTGGCGGCGGTCGCCGAACGCCCCATGCACGTCTTCGTGGACAGCCTTCGCGTTGTCAATGGCTTCCGAAGTACGGTGGGGGCATCGGATAAGGAAGCAGTGGATAAGGAATCCAGGGTCTGGAAGCCAAGGGAACTCCAATCGCGGATCGGCAACGGGTATTACCGCCACCCTCATCAGACAAGGAACCCTCCAGGGTCTGAAGCCTCCCGTGCACGTTCCTTAACCAACGCCCCCACCGTATCCTAGACGAGGGCGGCGCCCCTGAGGGGCCTCGCGAAGGACGCGCGGGGCCATAGACAAAAATTGCTCCTGGTAAGGGCGTTGACCTGTCGTTTCCGTGGTGGCGAAGGTGGCCAGCCACGTCGGGGAAGCTGGAGTGGGCGCGGGGCGTATCGCCGCCATGAGTGAACGCTACAACCTCAAGGTGGACGAACTGGCCACGGCGGCTATAGCGCGCCACAATCTCCCGGCCGGCGTGGCGATAACTAGGCGGCCAGGGTGCACAGCAGACCCTGGAGGCCGTCCTCCACTTCACCGCGGCCAGCATCTACGACCTCCGATCCAAAACGCTCTCCCTCCTCCACTGGAAAATTACACGTAAGCCGATTTCGCCGACAGCGGCCAACGTGGAGGCACGGCACCTCGAGGCCGTTCTCCACGTCACGGCGACAGGCACCTCATTATACGACCTCCTAGAAAAAATATGTCCCCCCTCCCTCACTGGCGCGCTGGGTGCACTTGTTTGGCCAAATGGCGACGTGAAGGCGTTACGCTTCAAACGGAGGAGGAGGAGGAGGAGGAAGGAGGAGGAAGGAGGAGATGGAGGAGGAGGAGGAGGAAGAGGAGGAGGACGGAGAAGAGGAGGAGGAGGAGGAGGAGGAGGAGGAGGAGGAGGAGGAGGAGGAAGAGGAGGAGCAGCTCGCTCGCTCCCACCCATTCAGTTCAATGTCTTATGGATGAGGAGGAGGAGGAGGAGGAGGAGGAGGAGGAGGAGGAGGAGGAGAACCCCCTCCCCCTCCCACTTATTATGGTGGTGGTGGTGGAAAACAGGCCCATCAGCTTGGGCTGCGGCGCTCTCTGGCGCCGACGTGGACGACTTCGACCTGGGGACCCAGACCTCGCTGCTCATCCCGACGAGGGCGAACCCGATGTCCTTGGCCACTGGCGAGCTGCTGGCAGCGATGAATCCCCTGCCGCCCCCTGATCCGACAGCCGCGAAGGGCACGGCAGTGGCAGCCACTCGCACACGAGCGTGTGATGCTCCTGACATGTCTTCGCAGACGGTGGCCAGGTCAGGAGCCTCTTGCTCCGCCGCCCGCACAGTGGCGAGCGACAGTGAGTCCAAGGCCTGTCTCCGCCGCCCGCACAGCAGCAAGCGTCAGCAGGGCCGGGGCTTCCAGCTCCGCCGCGCGCACACTGGCGAACGTCAGCGGCGGCCTTACTTACGCAGACTGACATAGGGCCAAACGTCTTCAGTGCTGCAGCCCGTTCAGCAGCGAGCGACAGCGGGGCCAGAGCCCCGGATCTGGTCGTTGAAGCCGAAGTTAGCGGCAGCAGCGAAGGGCGTCGCGGGCTCCGAGTCCGCCATGGCGCGGCAGCCGGTGCTGCCATGCCTGGGCGCCTCCGCGACCGCCCTGTGCGGTGCAGGCGGGCTCGAGCGCTCGCACCTCCGGCGGCCCCCTGTCTCCTCCTCCTCCTCCTCCTCCTCCTGCTCCTCCTCCTCCTCCTCCTCCTCCTCGTCTTTCTCCTCTAGCTATTGCCTGCTTCTGCTCCCCTTTTGGTTCCTTCAGGTGATGCCCCAAGCCCTACAAATGTTCTTCCTCCACCCCGGCGGCCCCCCGTCCCTCCTCCTCCTTCTCCTCCTCCTCCTCCTCCTCCTCGGCCCCGTGCCCCCCCATCCTCCAGCCCCTGCTTCCCTGCTCCCCTCTCTTCCCCCCTCTCCCCTCCCCCTCTCCGCTCCTCCCCCCCCCTCCCCGCTCCGCTCCCCTCGGGTGTTGCCATAGGCGTCCCTGGCCGAAAGCTGATGGGCCAACTCTCCACCACTACCACCACAGGTAGGACGGGGAAGAAGGGAGGATGGGGAGGTCCTCCTCCTCCTCCTGCTCCTGCTCCTCCTTCCTCTCCTACATCTGGTAGTGGTGGTGGGAAATCGGCCCATCAAAAGTGCCCCCAGCTTCCCGGGCAACTTTGGAGCCCCCGGCGCCCTATGGGGCCTCGTGAGGGGTGCTGTGGTAGCCGTGGGGTGGTGGTGGCTCCCTGGGAATCCTGGAGACGCCTGGGGAAAGGACACCTGCGGTCACCCCCTGCCCCCTCTCCCCTCCCCTCTGCGGATCTGGCAGCCCGCCGGCGCCAGCAACTCCGTTTGGAATGCCCGACAGATGCGCTACGATACGATACCCTCACCGCCGCGGACGTCGTCCATGCCTAGCGAAGACCAGGTGGGAAAGGCTTAGGGCCTCAAGAAGTCTGGCGCGTCTGGGCAGCATACAATGCGAGACACATGTAAAAGACAATGATGCGGGTATGGGGGGGACGAATACCTCCGATCTGCGACATGGCCCCACAGCGACCATCCAGAATCACCAACCCCTCACCGACACAAGCAAATCACCGACCAGACCCGTGATCACCCACGATTGCCCCAGGACCACCCCGCCAGAATCTGCGACGAACCCCCGAAACCAAATCCACAGTCACTGCGACCCCCTCAGGACTACACCCCCAAATCGACAGAGGTGCGACAATAAGGGCCGGCGGAATGAGCGAAGCGATTACATAAAAAACGCTATGAGGGGAGGGAGGGGGGAGAGAGGTCCTGGAGGTCCATGCCGGCGTGCTGCACGGTACGCTGTGTACGGAATAAAGACGGGTACGATGCCCAACAGCAGCAGAAGGCTGTCGAACACCGACAAGAGGCCGCGGTTGCGCAGGCGGCCTTCTGCCTCAAATGGACAAGGCCCGCGGCGACACAGACAACGAATCGGGCCAAACTGGGCAGGGATCGATGCCGGTCTTTGTGCCTATATTTTTCGTGCTGTAGGTCCGTGTCGTGACGAGCCTGACGCTTGTTTCTGCCACCGCGTGGATCGCTTAACCTTGACCGATCGGCGGCGTTCCGATCGTCCGATCGTCTCATAGGGCCGATCTGGGCCATCGGTGGCATTCAGCCTCGAACGCCCGCGGCGGAGTCCCAGCCGCGTCGAGACGACACGAACCCACACCGTTCCCATTTCGATCGTCCTGGTCTGCGGATCGGGCAGCCCGCCGGCGCCGGCACCCCCGCTCGAGAGCGACGATGGGGGCGAATAGCCCAGGGGAGAGCAATGCATGTATCCATGGGCGCCGATGGTTCATGCCTTCGGCGAGGCTCCCGCGCGAATACGTGGCATGCCCGCCCCTGGGCTATTCGCCCCTATCGTCGCCTCCGAACCTCAGATCTGACATGATAATAATAATGGCAACACCGTAATAGATCACGACCGTAGCCCGGGACCCCCTTCGCATCAGCCTGTGAGGGTCCTTCGGGCCAGAAGCCGGACGAAGACGCCCGCTGTGCATAAACTGCAGCGCCAGGAGGAGAAGGAGGAGGAGGAGGAGGAGGAGGAGGAGGAGGGGAGGAGGAGGAGGAGGAGGAGGGGAGGAGAGGAGGAGGGGGAGGAGGAGGAGGAGGAGGAGGAGGAGGAGGAGGAGGAGGAGGAGGAGGAGATAGAAGGAGGAGGAGGAGGAGGAGGAGGAGGAGGAGGAGGAGGGAGGTACGAGGAGGAGGAGGAGGGAGGAGCAGGAGGGAGGAGATAGGAGGAGAGGAGGAGGAGGAGGAGGAGGAGGAGGAGGAGGAGGAGGAGGAGGAGGAGGAGGGAGGAGGAGGAGGAGGAGGAGGAGGAGAGGAGGAGGGGAGGAGGAGGAGGAGGAGGAGGAGGATGAGGAGGAGGAGGAGGTAGGAGGGCAGGAGGAGAGGAGATAGGAGGAGGAGGAGGAGGAGGAGGAGGAGGAGGAGGAGGAGGGAGGAGGAGGAGGAGGAGGAGGAGGAGGAGGAGGAGGAGGAGGAGGAGGAGGAGGTAGGAGGAGCAGGAGGAAGAGGAGATAGGAGGAGGAGGAGGAGGAGGAGGAGGAGGAGGAGGAGGAGGAGGAGGAGGAGGAGGAGGAGGGGAAGGAGGAGGAGAAGGAGGGGACCCGCCGAGGCCGCCCGCCGACACGGTCACAGGCGACAGGTACGACATGACCACGTAGGCCACGACCGACTGGCGCGGGCGGAGGGCGGCGGCGCGCGGGGCGCGCAGAGGCCGAGGGCGGCGGCGGCGGCGCGGTACTCCGAGCGGGCCGCCGCTCGGCGCCCGCTCGGCCGACGGCGGGGCGTGGGCCCGAGCAGCTCATGGAGGGCGGCGTGGGGCCGGCGGGGCCCGCCCCCGCCCGCGGCGCGCGCGCGGGCGCCGTGCTCGCGCCACGGGCGAGGCGGCGCGCCGACAGGCGTCCAGAAGGAGGAAGGGTCTGGCTTCCAACGGCGGAGGAGGATGAGGAGGGGGAGGAGGAGGAGGAGGAGGAGGAGGAGGAGGAGGAGGAGGAGGAGGAGGAGGAGGAGGAGGAGGAGGAGGAGGAGGAGGAGGAGGAGGAGGAGGAGGAGGAGGAGAGGAGGAGGGGAAGGAGGAGGAGGAGGAGGAGGAGGAGGAGGAGGAGGAGGAGGAGGAAGAGGAGGAGGAGGAGGGGAGAAGGAGGATGAGGAGGAGGCGAGGCGAGGCCCTGTGACAGAGGCCTCCCAGGCCGGGACCGAGCAGACGGGGTCGGAGGGGCGGACGGACGCACGGACGGACGGGCGCCGCAGCACGTGCCGTAGGGCGGCCCTCTTGAGGGCTCGGCGGGGGCGCCAGAGCGCCGAGCACACAACACCTGTGCTTCAGCGCGACAGGACGGGGCAGGGTGTGTCTGGGGGGGGAGAAGGAACCCTCCAAGCCTGGGCTGTGTCGAGTCGCGGAGCCGGACCGGACTGGAAAGGGCTCGGAGCGTCAGCGAATCGTCCCGACTCGGATCGCCATCGGATCGCCGCCGCATCTGGCTCCCGCTGGCCTAGGCCGATGCCGATGACTCGAACCGAATCGCAATTGCGGCCCCAGCTGGCGACCCGAATCGCGCCGAATCGGATCGTGCGCGGCCTTGCCACCGCCCGCCGCCGCGAAGGACAGGGGCCCTAAGCGAAAGAGGGGTCCTGGAGGCGTTCCGCAGCTGTCGGCCTCCCGGGGCCCTCCCTGGGCCACCGGGGGGAGACGGCTCGGGATGAAGAGGCGGTCTGGAGGAAACGCGCCCAGGCCTCGGACCCGTTCCTGTCAAGACCCTGCGCTTTTTTTTGGTGGCGACACATCCTCCTCCTATTATTATTCTTCTTATCATTATTATCCCCTCTTCTTCTCCCTCTCCTTCTTCTTCTTCTTCTTCTTCTCGTTTTACTGGTCCTGTCTGTGCGTCTGCCTCTGCGGGGCTCTTTTCGCAAGCGGGTGGCTTCTTGTCGGATGGCCATGATGGGGTCCCGTGGCGGACGCTTCCTGACAAGCTGTGCCCCGGTGGCCGTCCGCCCCAAAGTTGAGCAAGCGTCGGGGCCACAGAGAGAGAGAGAGAGCGAGAGAGAGAGAGAGAGCGAGATACCGGCGAAGGGGGAGGGGAGGGGGGAGAGGGAGGGGAAGGAGGCTGAGGAAGAATGACGAGGAGGATGGATGTTTCTCCTTTCCAGCTTGATGGGGTTCATATTCAAGCGAAGAGCTGGCTGCAACGATTCGTGACCGAGAGCGCTGCGAGATATCTACACTCCGCCGAGGAGGAGGGATGTCAGAGGTCTCCAGATCGTCGCCAGATGCCTGTGGATGTCCGCAGCGACCCAGAGATGGCCAATAACGCCCCTACAATTCGGGTCTCACGAGGTTTGACGCGTGGTCGACGACATGGGGGGGCGGGGAGAGTGATTAGGGGAAAAAGAGGCAGTGAAGGGAGTGGGGCGGGAGAGCATGGTGAAGGGAGGCGGGTGAGATGGAGAAGCGAAGGAGGGGAGGATGGATGAGTTCCTCTATTCTCCGCCTCCCCCCTCCTCCTTCCCTTGCCCTTCCCTTCCCTTCCCTTCCCCCTCCGCTGCATTCTTCCCCCTCCTGTCCCCTTCTGCCCCTTTTTCTCCCCGTCCTCCTTCCTCCCCTTCTCTCTCCTCCTGCCTCCCTTCCCCTCATCATCCTTTTGAAAATCGCCTCCCCACCATGCCCATCCTGGGGTGTGCTCTGACCAGAACTCAGAGGTGGCTCCAGTCGTGGCGACGAGAACCCCCCTGGATGCCCAAAGAGTGCCCACACCACTCTCAAACACCTCGATCCTCGAAATGCGACCCTCGAACCCACGACCCATCCCTATCACTAGCGGCCTCCTAGATGAATGGGGTCGGAGTAGATGGGGTCGGAGGGGCGCACCGCATCGCCGATGTATCGGAGATGCATCGGCGACGTCGGCGGTGCGTCGGCGACGTCGGCGTGGAGAAAATCTAGCTCAATATCGAGCTTCATCGCGGATGCATCGGCGATGCGGCGCGATCCTCCGACCCCGTCTGCTCGGACCCCATCGGGGAGGCCTAGAATCACGCTTCTCCTTGGTGGGGAATGGGCCGATGGCAGCCAGTCCCACGCTCGGCACATGCCAAGCCGCGGCGCCTGCGCGTGGTACAGCACGCCGTCGATCCACAGCAGGAGCAAGGTTCCGTTGCCTGCGGCGCGCGCGCGCATGGAAGCCGGTGCAGTCGGGCTGCTGAACCAAGGGACGCTACAGAAGGAACGACGTCCCTCTTTGGCTCCAAAGGGCCTGGGTGCACGAGGAAGGCTAGATGAACAACCATGGGGGACCCAGGACACACAAATAAATACACACAAATAAAAATATTCCCCATATTTTCTTGTATTTTCTGGGTTTTTGTCTTCCCCCCCACTTCCCATATTTTCCCATATTTTCTGGGGAATCGACGATTAATTGTGTCTGTGTGCTTTTTCCCCTCCTGAACCATGGGGGACCCAGGGGTGTGTGTGACGGCCCTCCCGGGGGGTCCCCCCTGTGGACAAGGGAGGCAAGAGGGACAGGGGGGCCCCCCCGTGGACAGGGGGAACTCCGGACCCCTCCCCCCGCCTCTGCCCTGTAGGCAAGGGGACCACCACCAAGAGGCGCCCCCCTCTCACTCTTACCTGTTGCTGCGGGTGCTGCGTAATTTCCCACATGCCTGGTCACCAGATCCGCTCCGAGGCGGCTTCAAGCACCACGGAGCTTCCAAAGGTCCCCCAAGAGGCTCCCCGACAAAGCCCAAGAGGCTCCCAAGAAAGCCGCAAGAAGGGCTGCAGAGCGTCAGCGTCGCCGACCCCCCCCCCCTCAGGGTCGGCGGCACCAGCCGCAAGGCTTTCCAATAAGGAGCGGAGCCCCCCCGTGGCTCCAAATCAGCCAAGGGTGCACGAGGAGGGCTAGATGAACAACCATGGAAGAACCCAAGGAGCATCGAGTCCCTTCCGAACCCAAACTGTCCCTCATTTCAGCGTCGCGGCTGCAAGCTCCCCCTCCCATCAGGGAGCTGAAACCACACGCAGCTGGATTCACACGCGGATCATGTGGAGGCCCACGCGCTGGATTTGAGCAGGGACCGACCGTCCCGGCATTCCTGTAGGCCTACCACGACGTGTTCTTAGAACCCCAAGCTGTTTCAATCACATAAGCAATGTTCTTAGAACATAGACCCGATGTGTCAGGCCAAGACGATCTCAGCCATACATGTGTTGAGAACATTTCTTGCAGAATACGAAAGGTTATTAGAACATTTTTTGGTGGGCCTATAGGACGCCTCGCCACTGCTTCATGGATGCACACGCGGAGGGCGGCTACGCAGAGGCCGATCGCTGGACAGACGTGAGGCCACGGTGCTTTTAGCCAACTCTCGCCCGGGCCGGCCGCGTCATTCGTGCACGATTTCCTGGCACGTCCTGCCCTTGGCCTTCGTGGTCCGATGACGTGAGACGCTTTGCTATATCCTTGCGTCTCCAGAGGCCCAAGGGGACCTCCTGAGCTTCCAACGTCATCTGGGAGTCAGGATCTGGGGCGTCAGGAGAGCTCACCACCTCCTCTCCAACCTCCGCTCGTCGTCATTGTGACTACAATCATTCTGCTCATGCCGCCGTAATCGTCACCGCTGCTGTCGCATCCTAGCCGCTAGCCCTCTTTCCCCCTCGTCCTCGTCGCCCTCCCCTTCCCCCCCTCCCTCCATCCTCTTCCTCCTCTTCGTGGCCGTCGAGACGTGGGTTCGTGGATCGCACGGGTCCACGGGGCGGAACGGGGAAAGGGGTGATCGCAACATCAGCGGCCTCTGCCGCCGCTCTCGCGGCTGGGCCCCGCCCGCCGCCGCATACAAACTGCCCCCAAACCGGAGAACTCGCAACCACGATTGCCAGCACTGCTGCCAATACGGCCCCACGTGGTGTCCCGTGCGCTTCCCAGATGGCCACTGTTTGTCCAAGATGGCCCCAAGAAGGCACAAGACACTTGGGCTGGGCCCGCCCCAGATGCCAAAAGTAGAGAGAAACTTGTTGGTGTTCCAGTGAGTTTCGGATTCTTGCCTGTTCGGTCTAAGGGCGTCCAAGAAGGCCGGGAGGTTCCCCAAATGGTCCTAAGGCGACCACAATACGGCCCAAGGGAGCTCCCAACCAGCCCAAGCGAGCTCCAAGACGGCGCCAGGAGGGCTACTAAACGGCCCAGAATAAATGACCCAAGATGGCCTCCGAAGACACACGACGGCCTGAGAGCGCTCTGAGACGTCCCCAGAGCCCCAAGCTGACCCAAGAGAGCCCCAATAATCAACAAAAAACGGGACATATCCAAGAGACAGCATCAAGACGGCCCCTGAGACCCCCTCCATATGTTCCCCCTAATGGTTCCACTAGCAGTGGGAGAAATTTAAGTCCATTAGCTTGGCCGCCCTTTCGTTCGATATTTCACGACACAGACATTTCCAAAAGGCATGGGGCGGCAATGACCTGCCGCTTGCGCACTCAATGACATGCAGCAACATTGCTCGGTGGTCGCTGTCAAAAACTCATTCATTTCACCTCTGTCGTCCAAGCCGTTCCGTAAGCACCCAATGCAGATAAGCACGCACCATGTCAACACCGCCGATGCCGACATGAGGCACGAGGGGGGGACGAACAACACCCATACCTCCGACGACTCGATGTGCCCAAGCCGGCAGGCAAGAAGTGGGACCCAAAGGCAAGGCCTACTCGTCCGTGGTCGTCTGCCGAGGCCGGCCGTCGCTGCCCGTCGGCGACGCGGGGGGCGGCGGGCCTAGCCCGCTGGAAGAGAGCTCGCCCTCAAACCTTAGAGGCGACACGCGGACGCTGCCGGCTCAAGGCGAGCAACGAGCGCATGACTTGTTGGGGTCCCGACTGCGACTGCGGGTGGGGGCGGGGGGCCTGGCGCGCCGGAGAATCGCTGGCCCTCCCCGTCGGCCTTCGCGGAGGCTGCCGTCTTCCGACGCCGTGGAACAAGCAGGCAGAACGTCGTGGAACAAATGCGCCCGAAACCTTCGACACGATCGTTGTCAGACCCCAGGGGCCGAAAGGTCCTACACTGTACCCGGGTGCGTGGCTGCAATGGGGGGTTCCGCGGTGCTGATTCTTCCTGTTTCTTGTCGTCGTCCCACCCGCGACCCACTCTGCGACCCACCCGCGAATCCCCCGCGCCCCCCCTCTTGTCCACAATTCCGGGGCGTTGCGCAACCATACTTTTGCACCGTGTACGTAGGCTTCGAGAGGCATCGATCCTCGAGGGACCAAAAAACAGGGGGGGAACCTGAAGAAGAAAACGCGGCATGACCATGAACTTTCGGAGCTCCGCGCGGATTTCCAGGATCTGTGCTGGAACCCCCCTCAGAGGCGGCGGCGCTGGTGGTATCGCCAGGGGGTCCAGCGCAGATCCAACAAAAATCTGCGCATAACTCAGACAGTTAATTGTAATTATGCTTATGCTGCTCGCCCCTCGATCTCTGGCGGTTCACGGGGCTGGAACGGTGCCCCAGAGGCCGAGGTCCACGAACGCCCTGACCCTCGGACCTCGCTTCCCGATCCTCGAGGTCACCTGGAGGCCGAGATTGAAGCGAAGCCTCGAGCCTCGATTCCCGATCCTCCTCGAAGACTCGACAACGAGGACGAGGACGAGGACGACGAGGACGACGTTCGGACCGCCAGGGGGCTGCGTGGCACGGGGAGAGCCGCCAAGCGCCGCGAGGGGACTTCCCGCCGGGGCCGCCCGCCAGGTGAGACTGTACAGTCGGGGCGTTGACCTAAGGAACCCTAAATAAGGAACGAGGCCCCCTTTTTCTATAAGTTAAACTTCGATTTCCGATCGAAGACATAAGGAAAGCCTGGGGCAAGCTGTGAAACACGTAAGGAACGCGGAGCCCCTCACCAACCAAAAGGGTTCCTTCTTCAGGGCCCTGGCTGTACAGCGCGTGCCAGGGAGCTGCAGGCCCTCCCGTCGAGGCGGGGATGTGTACACGACCACCTCCTGGAGGATCGATTTTCGTGGGCCTCCACGACCTCCACGGGCGGTGGATGTGGATGTCGATTGGCCCCCAGGGGACAACATATATCCATGTCCGCCGCATGCTGGGTCCCCTGGGCGTCTCATCGCGGAGGCGGTGGACATGGATAAATCCCCGCCTCGCACTCACTCCCTGCGCTGCGTTCGTCCCACGCACTCGACGGCGCGCGAGAAGAGGAAGTGAGAACGATAATATCTTCTCAGAAAGCGGCGGGGCTTCTCAGAAACCCTCCGGCATTCTGAGAGGTCTTCAGTGTCTCGAGCGAAGTCTTAGAACACTTCCCAAAGGCCGGGGGAATTCCGAGCCTTCTGAGAAGGCCCTCCCATTCTGACTTCCCCCTGTGGTTCTCGATCGGAACGTCATCGGCTCTTGAACAGATGCTCCCACTGCAGCGTTGACCACGTTTTCGGATCGGTGGTTTGCCCCCGTCGCTCAGAACGGCGCTCCCGCCTCAGTGCGGGCAACAGTTCTGGCTCCGATTCCTTCCTCGTCATTGCCATCCTCCTTCTTTCCCGTTCGCCGCCTTCCCTTGCTCCTGGTGCTTCTATTGCTCGTCCTCGTCCCCTGGATCGCATTTCCCCTTCCCGATTGCACAGCAAACGATGGGTGACCATTTGGGGGCCAAGGTCCAGTAGGACACTCGGACACACCAGTCGGCGAACAAGCGAAGATTCGTTGCAGGAAGTAGGAGGGTATGGGTGGGAAGGGCGGGGTGTCAGGTAGCGCAAGTGCACCAGTCTTCGTTCCTTCCTCCCTGCCCCCCTCTTTGAAATCACAGAAGTAGGTTGCGTAAACATATGCAACCGTTCGGACCTACAACCGTTGATGATCGTGCAAAGACCCATCTTCGTCCCTCCCCCCCCGTCCCCGTCTCCCGCTATCCCCCCCCTCTCCCATGCCTGTCTCCCTCTGCAACTTCACACTGTGAATGCTACTCTTAGGTCGGGCGTAGCCCCCTACAGGCGGACTTTGGACGACACATAAAATTTTGCCCAACAAGCATCCAAACATGGCAATACATTCATATCGCCCCCGACTATCTTAAACACTGTTTGTGAACAGTATTTCCCCTGTAGAGGGACACACTCAACTAAACACTACTCCCTTCTCCCCCTGAATATGTCGTGAGAATATTCGCTCCCCCTCCGTGTCGTGCTTTTTACTCAAAAGGATTTGCGCGATCTGGCCTGTCAACATGGTTGTCTACAATCCGACCGTTGAAATTCACAACGCTCCTTGGTTGGGTATTCGTTTTGAATAGGGCGCTGCGGTCGCGTCTTCTTGTCCTCCCGCCTCCCGCCTCCTGCCTCTCGCCCCCCCTCCTTCTTGTCTCCTCTTGCCTTGTGCGTACTTACCGCTGGTGTGTGCATGTTGCCTGCGGTGCCTGTCTCCGGCCCCGCCGACCCTGGGGGGCTACGTTCTGCGAAGCTGTCGCCACTTTCGAGGGCTGCTGGGGGGGACAGCATAGTGGGCACCCGCCGCGGATCCAAATGAGACCTCGCCATCCCTGGGGGGCTGCGATTTGCGAAATTGTCGCCACTTTCGACAAGGGCTGCTGGGGGGGCCCGCATCGTGGGTACAGGCCGCGGACCCTAATTAGACCTCGCCACTTTCGGGGGCTGCTGGGGGGGGACAGCATCGTGGGTACCCGCCGTGGACCCAAATTAGACCTCGCCATCCCTGGGGGGCTGCGATTGGCGAAACCGTCGCCACTTTCGAGGGCTGCTGGGGGGGACAGCATCGTGGATACCCGCCGCGGATCCAGATTAGACCTCGCCAGCCCTGGGGGCTGCGATTTGAGGAACTGTCGCCACTTTCGAGGGCTGCTGGGGGGGGTACTCGCGGCGGATCCATCGCCAGCCCTGGGGGGCTGCGATTTGCGAAACTGCCGCCACTTTCGAGGGCTGCTGGGGGGACAGCATAGTGGGTACCCGCCGCGGACCCAAATTAGACATCGCCATTCATGAGGGGCTGCGATTTGCGAAACTGTCGTCGCCGCTTTCGAGGGCTGCTGGGGGGGGGGGGGGGCAACATGATGGGCACCCGCCGCGGACCCAAATTAGACCACGCCATCCCTGGGGGGCTGCGATTGGCGAACCCGTCGCCACTTTCGACGAGGGCTACTGGGGGGGGGACAGCATCGTGGGTACCCGCCGCGGGCCCAAATTAGACATCGCAATCCCTGGGGGGCCGTGATTTGCGAAACCGTCGCCACGTGCGAGGGCTGCTTGGGGGGCCAGCATAGTGGGCAGCCGCCCAGATTTGCGAAATTGTCCCCGCTTTCGAGGGCTGCTTGGGGGGACAGCATCGTGGGTGGTAGCCGCCGCAGACCCAAACTAGACCTCGCCAGCGCTGGGGGGCTGCGATTGGCGAAACCGTCGCCACTTTCGAGGGCTGCTGGGGGGACAGCATAGTGGGTACCTGCCGCGGGCCCAAATTAGAACTCGCCATCCCTGGGGGGGGGGGGCCGCGATTTGCGAAACCGTCGCCACGTGCGAGGGCTGCTTGGGGGGCCAGCATAGTGGGCAGCCGCCGCAGATCCAGATTAGACCTCGCCATCCCCGGGGGGGGGGGGGCATGATTGGCGAAACCGTCGCCACTTTCGAGGGCTGCTCGGGGGGGACAGCATAGTGGGTACCCGCCGCGGACCCGAATTAGCCATCGCCATCCATGGGGGGCTGCGATTTGCAAAACTGTCGCCGCTTTCAAGGGCTGCTGGGGGGGAGGGGGGGACAGCATCGTGGGTACCCGCCGCGGACCCATATGAGACCTCGCCATCCCTGGGGGGCTGCGATCTGCGACACCGTAGCCACGTTCGAGGGCTGCTTGGGGGGCCAGCATAGTAGGTGGCCGCCGCAGATCCAACGTAGAACTCGCCATCCCTGGGGGGTGGCTGCGATCTGCGAAACCGTCGCTACTTTCGTAGGCTTGTGGCGGGTCCAGCGGAGTGAGGCACCACGCAGATCTGAGCGGGACCCCGCAATCCCTAGGGGGCTGCGAGCCTCACGAATGCCGCTCGCAGAAGTATATGTGCCCATGTCATGTCATTACCTACGTATAACGTCTCCCAAGCTACTCATGGCCCGCATTGCGCAGGGGTTGGGTACGTCGCCAGGGTAATGTTTCAAATCTGGTGTTCTCGCTGCAGCGTGGGCCTCGCTTTCGGATCGGCGCTGTGCTCCCGTGGTTCAAAATGGCGCTCCCGCCCCAGCATGGGCCACTGTCCTGAAACCCGCAGGTCTCGCAGGTCCCACACGTCTCGCAGGTCCCACAGGTCTCGCAGGCCCTACTCCCACAAAACTCACAAATGTCGCAGGCCGTCCCATAGGGCCCACAGATACCAGGTCTGACAGGTCCAACAGGTCACGCAAGTGTCGCAAGTCTCGCATGCCCCACAAGTCCCGCAGGTCAGACTGGTCCCGCAGGTCCCACCCGCAGGTCCCGCAAGTCCGGCTGGTGCCACGGGTCCCACAGGTCTCGCAGGTCTCACAAGTCCCACAGGTCCCACAGTGCCCGCAGGTCCCACATGCGTCGCAAGTGTCGCATGTCTCAGAAGCTCCAAAGGCCACAGAGGACCACCCGGGTCGCACAAGTCCCACCAATTTCTTTGTTTCGACCGCACATAGCACAATGGAATCTTTCGTAGAGTTCCATGCCGGCTATGACGCCCGTCCGTGGAGATGGAAAAAACAGTGCAATCGGAAGGGCTGGGAGGGAGGCATGTGTCAGATACAGTGGAAAGCTCCACCACAAGAAACCGTCCACCCAACCCTGAGACCCCAGGACGTCCACTGATTTTGGGTGTGGGAGCGTCACGCTTCCCATCAGCGAGAGCGCCGAAACCCAAGACACCCAGGGCACCCTGGAGGCAAGCCGGGGTGCTTCTGGGCATGGGCTTCCACTGCATGGCGCGAGCGCAGCTCGGGTGCCTCTCTCCCCCCTCTTGCGCTCCAACTCCTCTCCTGCGCCCCGCCCTCTCCCTCCCTCTCGCGCTCCTCTCCCGCGCTGCCCCCTCCCTCCCCCGCCCCCCCCCAGCTGCCCTCTCCTCCTCCCCTGGCCACTGCACCTCCCTCCCTCTCGCTCCTCCGTCCCCGTCCCTGCCCTCGTTCGCCTCCTCCTCTGCCTCCGCGCCCGCTTCGCATTCCCCTCGTGCTCCTGCTCGTCCTCCTGCTCCTCGTCCTGCTCCTCCTCCTCCTCCTCCTCCTTTCCCTCCTTCTCTTCTGCCATCAGCTCCTCCTCGGCCTCCTCCGCCTTCTCCTCTTCGTGCGCTTGCTTCTCTTCCTTCTCCGCCTAGAATGCTCCTCCACGTTGTCCCAATCAAACTAATTTCCATTCTCGCCGGACAGGTCCAACAAATCTAAGGTCCGAGACGCAGGTGTCAAGGACTCGTAGGTCTCGTTGACGTCAATGCCTCTGCCGGCCGTTCTGAAAGACGGCGTCGATATATCGAGCAAGGAAGCCTCCCGTCTCTCCCACCCTTCGAAGAATCCTGCCTCGCCAGGGCCAACGCCAAGATGTCGCCACTTGGAACCACACAGGGACCCCTGCGCCCAGAACGCGCGTCCGAGGCGCGGCCTGAAAGCTCGCTAGCTTGAATGTCTCGCTCAACTCAATCATGGCCGAATTGGGTGGGCACTGTGCTGCGGAGCCCTCTAGGGACTTTTGGCATGCCGCTTGCCGGCTGCCAAAGTTCCGGTCCGCATTGAGCACGGGTCGATCTCGGAGGTGCCCATTGGGGAGTCCGCCCCAATATGATCCGAGACGCCGTCGCCCCCCGTCTCCAGAATGCCCCTTGTGTCCAAACTTGCACGTCCGCGAAAGGAAAAATGAGAAACGGGTAGGAGGGAGAGAGGCGTGACGGAAAGCTTGGTATGACAGCCGAGAGGAAGGAAAGCGACAGCCAGACATGTCTTTGGATTCGCACAGGCTCGAACAACACCACTGGAGGGCTAATTCCAATTTACTCAGTCTTACCGAGAGCTAGCCCGCTCTTTCTTGGCGACCAATTCAAATACAATACTACGTTGAATGCGCATCCTCTGCTCTGTTTGGGGCAAATGCTCATGTTTCGCGACAACGAATAACCATTCATCAAACGCCAAACGGAATTCGATGATACTAATCACGACCATGCAACATGCCTGCGCACGCGATAACAAATGTGATGATTTTCCTTGTGACGTAATTTGGTCGTCAAACATGGGGCTAACGTGGTAATGATCCCTTCCGCTCGAGCCTCTGTGCAAAAGTGATGGCTTCCTCCGGGACTCCCCCGCTTGCTACCAATTCCAGTGGACGCTGCAGGTCCGTCCCAGCCTCTCAGACGTCAACATATTCCTCGCGGACGACTGGCTCCAAAAGGGTCCCACGAGCTCGAAGGCTACGACAGGCCTCCAGGAGGCCGTAAAGAGCTCCAGCTACAGAACACTGGAAACACCCAGATTAGTGCCCAATATGTTTCCCTGGACAGAAGCGCCTAAATCTAGATCTCCTGAGGACCCCTCCCTCCGCAATGACTCATCAAACATGCATCATTCTTTTTTTTTCCCCACGAGAACTCCCTACCGTTCATCCGCCCCGACCGCCTGTAGGTTTTCTTCCGCACTCAGAATTGACAAAACATTGCCCGCTCGGAGAGCCTTCGGCCGTTCAGAAGGGCGCTCTCCTCTCGGCGCCTGCCGCACTCCTGTCCGCTCCACGATCTCTTGGCGGGCGCCACCCCCGCCGACGATAGAGGAACCGACGGTGCCATGAGCATCAACTGCCGGAGGTCCACACCGAGTTTTTGCATCAACACTGGACCTCCTCCCTGGCGCGCGGAGCGCGCCCAGGGCTGCGCTGGAGACGCCGCCAGGGGGCCCCAGCACTCCGCTCAGCACTCCTGCCCGCACTGCTATCCACTCTGAACCTCTCTCCCCGAAAGTCGACGTCGCGAAACACCTGCAGCATCGAGACACCTCCACTGGAGCCCTGGACCCCATGTGTCCGCGGCGTTTTTTGGATCAGGATCGATGTGTGAGGGTCCTGGGGCCCGCAATAATTCGGGGATGGACAGACCTCCCTTTAGTAAAACGTGGTTTAGTGAAAACGACCTGAGGCCCAAACCTGGCGGGCGCTCCAGCTCCAGGCGTGGGGCGCCGGCGTGGTGGGGTCGCGACACCCGTCGGGGGCGCCCTCCCCCACGCGCTGGTCGGGTATTTTTGTGCAGTCGGACCTAGGCCCGAAGAACATCCCTCAAGAACATGAGACCTTCCGTCGGCCAAAACACACACACACAGAATGTCCAAGAGCACCCTCCCCGTGATGAACACACACACACATCCAGCGATCACGAAAACCATTCGGGTACCCTCCCCGAGCCGACCTCGATCTTATGTCTGGTCCGGCTGCCTCAAGATACCCACGAGTGAAGAGATCACATGTCCTGTCGCTGCGCCCAGACCTATCGCGCCAGCTTCGCCTGCTCCCGGCGGTTTGTGATTCGCGAAGGCGGAGAAGGGAGAAAGGGAACGAGAAGCTGGCAGCCGATGGCGAACGCGCAGGTGAGAGGCCAGGGCCGACGGGACGAAGCAGGCGTGCGCAAGGAAGGAGAAAGCAAGGTAGAGGAGGATGAGGAAGAGGAGGAGCAGCAACAGCAGGAGCAGGAGCAGGAGGAGGGACGGGAAGCCACGGGCCGAGGAGGGGCGGGGCCGTCGTCTCGTCGGTCGCCCCCGTCGGCCTGGGCTCGCGCGCGGCGCGCACCTGCGGTGCCGCAGCCGCAGCGCCCGCCGCCGCCACGCCCCGCGAGGGCAAGCCCGCGTGGCACAGGCGCCAGTGGGAAAGATGACCGCCGCGAGGACCCTCCTCCGCATCGTGGACGCCGTGCAGTTGCTCAGCGCGCACTACTCGAAGCATCATGACCGAGGACCCGCTGACCGTCGAACATATCGCGGAGAAAGATAGCATGTACGCCGGCGCCGTCAAGAACAACAGGAAGGCGGGGAGGCCTGACTTGTTCGACATTCCAACCTACAAGGACATCACTCCTTTGCCTGTGCTCGAGACATCACCCGTGCAGCCGTCAGTATTTGCCGAGGTACAGAATCTACGAGAAGCCTTGGAGAGACCATCACCGCCTCAAGCAGCACCGAGGCAAACAGTATTCTACATCACCGACGACCCCTCGAATGGTAATGACCTCATGCCTCGCATGGCTGACGATAACATCTCTACGACTGGCGGGCTCGAGCACACCATCTTCAACACCAACACCGAGAACCACGACAACATCGACAACAATAAACTCGACATGATCCGCGGGTGCATCGACAACCGCATCGCAACTGCACTCTACTTCGAATTGCCTGACATAACCAAATCTACCGACACGGTTCACCACAACGTCATTCAGCGCAATAATCTACAATACGTGTGGTGTAAGCGGTAGGCCCGACTTGACGGATAAGCAGGCCGAAACTATCCGCAAGGCAAGCAATAGCACGATGGACATCATTAGGACGATATTTACGTGCCAAGTCGAGGGCCACCCCGACGGTCGCTGCACAGAGAAGCAATCATAACGACATCGTGCACGGATTCACCACATGGCAGCTTTCAGAGCTACAACTCCTACGCGGACTGGCTGCGAGCACCTAGACGAGCAACCACATAGAGCACTCCTTCGAGAGGGGTGACGACAGCCACCGCAACAGCACCGCGTACATCGTCCAGAGGATCGATCACCAGATCATCGAGCGCTGGAGAATTAGCAGCCCCGCGGGGGCACGAAACGACATTTGATTGGAGGCTACCTGAGACCTCGCCTCCCCTGGTTCCCTTCTATTCGAGAGCCCTGGAGTTAGGTCGGGCCTGTGCCCTACAGGGGGATCTTGCGCGAACAACTAAAAATACTCCAACAATACGACCTCGCCTCCCCTGGTTCCCTTCTCTTCGAGAGCCCTGGAGTTAGGTCGGGCCTGTGCCCTACAAGGGGATTTTGCGCGAAAAACAAAACAACTCAAACAATACGACCTCGCCTCCCCTGGTTCCCTTCGCTTCGAGAGCCCTGGATGCCACTCGCTCCTATTCCCTTGCGGAGGCTCTCGGGTCTCCCGGCCTGGCGCCTCTGGCCCCCCCCTTCCCCCCTCCCCTCTCATAATATATACAGACAGTCCTCTGTGCTAGCATGTTCTAGATTCTCTGAGCCCGTTGTGGTTATTTTCTACCACCTAGAGACTCCACAGTCAGTTTCTATTTCTGTAGTCTTAAAATAGGGGGCAAACAAGCCTACCTCGCTTTTGACCACCCTCGCTTCCAAGAGACACCACGCGATGCCAAACTACGGCCTGTACTGGCCAGGCCGCTTGACGAGGAGGCGCGTGGTATGACTTGGTTTTGCCTGGAAGCGAAAGCGGGGTAGGTAATTCACGCTCTGATAAAAAACAAATACGCTTGAGTCGCGGTCTCCTGAGGCCCTTGAGGCTCTTCCGCCTCCCCTCGGGCTGGGGGGAGGGGCCCACCGCCGTGCCCTCAGCACCCCTGCGACCTGCCCCCTTCCCACCACCCTCGCTGGACGCCACTGGCGAGGAGGAGGTGACCTCCCTTCTCCGGGTGGTGGTCGGGGGGCACGACGTACCTGGACGAGCTCGGCTCCGCTGCCCCGCTGGCCTCTGGAATCCAGGCCCCTGCCCGTTCCGTCGCTCCCGAGGCCCCTCGAAGCGTCTGCCTCGTCCTGTCGGGCGGCCTTCTTCCCTGGGGCCCTGGGCTGCCGTCTCTGAAGGGGAACTGGAACACACAAATAAATACACACAAATAAAACTATCCCCCATATTTTCCCATATTTTCTGGGTTTTTGTCTTCCCCACCACTTCCCATATTTTTGCATATTTTCCCTCCTGAGTCTCGGCCCCCCCCCCCCCTCTCCCGAGGCCTTCTGACTTCCGTGCAGTCGGGGGGCTCCCGCGCGCGCGCGCGCGCGGGCGCGCTCGGCGCGCTGCGCGCGCGGCCGCGGCCACTGCCCGAGTGACAGGCCGCCCCGAAACAGGCGAAACAGGAGCAAGGGCTCCCAACTTCGCGCTTCGCGCTCCGCGAAGCGCGAATAACTTCGCGCTCTCGCGCCGCCCCCCCAAAAGGAGAATAGGAGGACGAGGAGGAGGGGGAGAAGGAACGAGGACCGCGAAGCGCGAATAACTTCGCGCCCTCGTGGGAGCCCTTGCAGGAGGGACGGCAGACGAGGCGCTGATCGACAGGCCCACGGCACGACCCGTCCTACGCCCCGCAGGCGTGCGACGAGACTCGTGGCATGATCTGATTGCTTCTGGATGCGGTGCCGGGAGTTCCGAGCGTCTCCTGCGGCCCTCCCCTCATCTCCGGAGCCAGCGCGGAAGGGCAGGCAGCCCTGGGCATCCTGGAACGCACCGCCATCACGACGTC